GGCAGATGTAGTCAACAGAGGGATGTGTACTGGGCAGATGTAGTCAACAGAAGGATGTGTACTAGGCAGATGTAGTCAACAGAGGGATGTGTACTAGGCAGATGTAGCCAACAGAAGGATGTGTACTGGGCAGATGTAGTCAACAGAGGTATGTGTACTAGGCAGATGTAGCCAACAGAGGGATGTGTACTGGGCAGATGTAGTCAACAGAGGGATGTGTACTGGGCAGATGTAGTCAACAGAGGGATGTGTACTGGGCAGATGTAGTCAACAGAGGGATGTGTACTAGGCAGATGTAGCCAACAGAGGGATGTGTACTAGGCAGATGTAGTCAACAGAGGGATGTGTACTGGGCAGATGTAGTCAACAGAGGGATGTGTACTGGGCAGATGTAGCCAACAGAGGGATGTGTACTAGGCAGATGTAGTCAACAGAGGGATGTGTACTGGGCAGATGTAGTCAACAGAGGGATGTGTACTAGGCAGATGTAGTCAACAGAGGGATGTGTACAGGAGCTGTGTACTATAAAAATCACTATGAGAATTTCAGGAAAATATAATTCAAGTATTGCTTTTTCCATTTAATGAAAATTATTTTCTCAAGTAAAGCATGAAAATGTTGTGTTTATGGTAACAAACATTAGAGTTATTTATTTTGGCAGTGTGTGGGTAATCCTTGGCCTTACTATATAGCGCAGTAGGGTGCTGACTGTGGCCGTGATCAATACTACCATGGTGGCCAGCAAATCCATGGCCTACCTGTGGATTACTCAATCTCCTTTCTCCACTAAATTATTGTAGACTTGAAGCCCAGTCAATCCCATCTGGGGCAGGCCATCCATTTCCCTCAGCCTCCTGGTGTACAGGCCACGGCCTACATGCTACACAACTTCAAGCACTGTCAGGGAAACCAGAAGAACTGAAAGATAAGATATGTAATACAAAGGTTTCTGTTGAATAATAGTTCAAAGGAATTGAAAATGGCACTTGTATTTTCACAAGTTGGCAAAGTTTGAGTAAAGTTAAGCATGTGTGAACAAAGAGTTAGAGATGTGTAACTTCGTTAGCGGGGATTAATACTTGATTGATATACCTATGACTTCAGGGAACTCTTTTTCCACAATCTCCAAAGTTCCATCACCGAATTCAATTCTAAAAAGTGAGCTGTATTAGAAACTAAATGTCTATTCCACTGACATGGGCTTACAAAAAGGGGAATGATAATGATCAAGTGATGTCACTCTTATTGAAAACTTGCCACTTGACTCACTAAACCTCTCTCTTTTTATATGACATCAACTTATCACTTAGAAGTATTTCCATTCTACAAACAGTTCTACAAACTTTTTGGGCTGGTTGGACTAAATTTTGATTAGAGAAGTTTGATGATTCAACTTGAAGATTTTAATGGAATATTATAGTTGTCAGTGGTTTGTTTGGCCCATACGTGGTCTTTTAGAAAGTCAGCAATCATATAGCTAGAATACTTGAATACTGTGGAGTGCTAAACAAGAAGCAAAAAGACCACCACAAAACACATTCATGACAGACATGAATGTGTTGATGGCAGACATGAATGTGTTGATGGCAGACTAATATGTGTTGATGGCAGACTAATATGTGTTGATGGCAGACTTGTATGTGTTCATGGCAGACTAGGATGTGTTGATGGCAGACTAATATGTGTTCATGGCAGACTAGTATGTGTTCATGGCAGACTAATATGTGTTGATGGCAGACTAATATGTGTTGATGGCAGACTAGTATGTGTTCATGGCAGACTTGTATGTGTTCATGTGCAGATGGCAGACTAGGATATGTGTTCATGGCATAGTATGTGTGCAGACTTGTAATATGTTGATGGCAGACTAAATATGTGTTCATGGCAGACTAATATGTGTTGATGGCAGACTAACATGTGTTCATGGCAGACTAATATGTGTTGATGGCAGACTAATATGTGTTGATGGCAGACTAATATGTGTTGTGTGGCAGACTAATAGACAGACTAATATGTGTTGATGGCAGATGACTAATGTGTGTTGATTGATGATGGCAGACTAATATGTGTTCATGGCAGACTAATATGTGTTGATGGCAGACATGTATGTGTTGATGGCAGACTAATATGTGTTCATGGCAGACATGTATGTGTTGATGGCAGACTAATATGTGTTGATGGCAGACTAATATGTGTTGATGGCAGACATGTATGTGTTGATGGCAGACTAATATGTGATGGCAGACTAATATGTGTTGATGGCAGACTAATATGTGTTGATGGCAGACTAATATGTGTTGATGGCAGTCTTGTATGTGTTCATGGCAGACTTGTATGTGTTCATGGCAGACATGTATGTGTTCATGGCAGACTAATATATGTGTTCATGGCAGACATGTATGTGTTCATGGCGGACTAATATGTGTTCATGGCAGACTAATATGTGTTCATGGCAGACTAATATGTGTTCACTAACCAATAAGGCATGGTGTTCTCATATAGATAAGCTGTCCATTTTCAGTCAAATCCTTTTTTAGAATTAAGTACTTTTAGTTGTAAATGCCCCTGTAGTAAAGTGGGAATCCTGAATGTTTGATAACAAACCTAACAATAATATTTTATAACTGGACAGTTTGATTAGGTTATAAAGATTTGAGATAAAGCTATGTTAGAAAAATGTAACAAATACTCATGATCTCTGGCAATCCTTGGAAAATCAGGGAATATGTACAAAGACATGAAGTGTGAATACTACACAGTGCATTTAAGCTACAGCCTAGTTTGATTGAATGCTTGTGACAGCAATGATAGCTCTAACATATTAATTACACATTCAGTGTCGTGTTACTTCTCATTTACTCAAAGAAATGTCATGTTTAATAGTCTTACCAGAATTGAATTTGTTCTGTGAGTCAGAGAATAGCAGAGATATTGAGCAGACCTCTGAGCTGTCTTCTGATTGAGATTTTCATCAATGGTTTGATAGGAGACCAGCAGGTGTAGATTGTGTGCATGTTGACAGATTACATCAAGTCGAGCCTGTTGACAGTGGTAAGTGATAGGCAGGGCAAGGTGATCAAGCATGGATTAACATTACGGAAACTAGTGAAAACTAAACACTTGTGTTGCCGGTGTGTCTACCTGGTGGAATCCCACTCGAGAAGTGTCAGCTGGAAGTTGGCACTCAACTGGATTATAGATATAACAGATAAATCACCATCTACTGGTAGTGGGAATACATACTATCCAGGTTATCCTCTTGTGCCAACAAAGTTCACTTTCTGCTATGCACTCTGCCTGTCCACAGATATCACTGTCCCTCCTTGTGTCCACAGACATCACTTTCCCTCCATGTGTCCACAGGCATCACTTTCCCTCCGTGTGTCCGCAGACATCACTTCACTTTCCCGCCGTGTGTCCACAGACATCACTTTCCCTCCATGTGTCCACAGGCATCACTTTCCCTCCGTGTGTCCACAGACATCACTTCACTTTCCCTCCATGTGTCCACAGGCATCACTTTCCCTCCACGTGTCAGCAGACATCACTTTCCTCCGTGTGTCCGCAGACATCACTTCACTTTCCCTCCGTGTGTCCACAGACATCACTTTCCCTCCGTGTGTCCGCAGACATCACTTTCCCTAGGTGAGTCCACAGACATCAATTTCCCTCCATGTGTCCACAGACATCAGCTGCTTCATGGCTGCCCCAAACTCACCAAATGTTTATGTGAGGATGGTTAATGTACTGTCAGTAAACAGTGTTGATGGGAATCACTGCACAGAAAATGCTTTTTCACTTTTTAATTAAGCGACATCCGAAACTGGAAATTGACTTTCTGTATGATGAAATTTCATGGAAGAATACAGTTACACAAATCCAATCTTGTGGCCCATTCACAGATGACCATGACATCAGATTTTCTCCAGTAACTGTCAGTTATCAGAAATTTGTTTACCATTAAAAAGAAAAGGAGAATAAAAGCAGCCTTTTAAATTGCTATCAAATGGGACCTTATTTAAACTTTTACCATACATGATGAGATTTCTTTTTGTTAAGTCCATGATTGTGTTTGTGATTCTGTCTGGATGACAACTTCTAGAGTTGGTGTAAGTTGCAGCAAGTTCAGTGGCCCCACTACCCTTAAAAAGAAGGCAGTAGCCGTGTGTCTGGACACTTGTCTTGGGACAGTCATTGGTTAATTAATCCTGAGGAGCTTTCAGGATGAACAAAGACTGTACTCATGCAGTTTTGCAGCTACTCCTCTCAATCACAACCAATAATAAATATCAAAATGAATGAACCATGACAAATTTTCTAATCAGTGACCACGTGCTCACTCTTCCTATCCTTCCTACACTTGTGAAACTAGTATCTATTACTTCTCAATACAGTTCATGCTTTTATAACATTCTTGGGGAATAACTCACAAATATTGTTACAATATCTATTCTTGGAACAATCACATTAAAGACTGTATTTCTGCATGAAGTTGTAATGAGCAAACAATGTCTTTGCTATGCTGTAGCGTGTATTATACAGTAGATCCTGTCTAGGCTACAGATACCCCCTCTAGCTGCTTGTCCCTCTATTGTCTTACAGAAGATTGCTGTGTAAACCTGTTTGTTACGACTTTGCACATGTTTCATTGAGACGGGGAGATGTGATATCCCATTACCCTAGTCACGCTTCCAGCAAGATTTTAAACCTCTTCTCCCATATGGGATAGTGTCTAGCAGCTGGGGCAGGCCATTACCTCCAAGAGGGGTGGCAGATAATTCACAAATTGGGTTTTCAGGAAATACTTTTAACCATGGCTGCCGATTCATTGATCAGTTTTATTAGTGGAGTCTGTTGATGGCGAGGCTGAGGAAAGCAGCTAGTTGGTGTTATGTTGGGTTATACACTTGCTGATGGCATAGCTCTCTCCCCTTCCCCGCCATCTGTGGAGCCAATTCCATGAGTGCAGTGCCGTATACCATAAACACATCTCTTTGCAGGCTGGGACTAACAGACAGAAGAGGGCCAAGGAAAATGGCCGATATCTGAACAACAAAGTTTGGAACTTTCCTGAACAGCGGATTATCAGCATTTTTCTTGAGTGTGGAAGTGGTGGTGATTCAGGATTGAGGATTAACTGTCAGATTACAGTCTTGGAAGTTGTGACCAAGTTTACCGAAAGTTGTGTCAATCGGTTTTGGATAGATCTGATACCCATCACAGTGCTGGCTGGTGAGTAAGCCTTGTTTTTATCTCCTTGTTCTACTTTCAGGCCTGACTGTATATATTTCAACATCTCTGCTCGTCATCAGAGAACAATACCAAAGATTTGGAAAGTTTTCTTCTGCCAACTGAACCTCCTTGTGATTGTGTAGGAATTCTAGGGGATTTCTGGGGAGTGTACATGCTGGGAGTGTACACCTGCTGACCTGGGCACCCTGAAGCTTACAGTTGATCAGCATCAGCACTCTAGTATTCATGTCATTGTCAGGGGTAGGTGGGGTCAGGGTGAGGGCTGGCAAGGTAAGGGGGTGTCAGGGGTAGGTGGGGTCAGGGTGAGGGCTGGCAAAGTAAGGGGGTGTCAGGGGTAGGTGGGGTCAGGGTGAGGGCTGGCAAGGTAAGGGGTGTCAGGGGTAGGTGGGGTCAGGGTGAGGGCTGGCAAGGTAAGGGGTGTCAGGGGTAGGTGGGGTCAGGGTGAGGGCTGGCAAGGTAAGGGGGTGTCAGGGGTAGGTGGGGTCAGGGTGAGGGGCTGGCAAGGTAAGGGGGTGTCAGGGGTAGGTGGGGTCAGGGTGAGGGGCTGGCAAGGTAAGGGGTGTCAGGGGTAGGTGGGGTCAGGGTGAGGGCTGGCAAGGTAAGGGGGGTCAGGGGGTCAGGGTGAGGGCTGGCAAGGTAAGGGGTGTCAGGGGAGGGGTGAGGGGCTGGCAAGGTAAAGGGGGTGTCAGGGGTAGGTGGGGTCAGGGTGAGGGCTGGCAAGGTAAGGGGTGTCAGGGGTAGGTGGGGTCAGGGTGAGGGGCTGGCAAGGTAAGGGGGTGTCAGGGGGTAGGTGGGGTCAGGGTGAGGGCTGGCAAGGTAAGGGGGTGTCAGGGGTAGGTGGGGTCAGGGTGAGGGCTGGCAAGGTAAGGGGGTGTCAGGGGTAGGTGGGGTCAGGGTGAGGGCTGGCAAGGTAAGGGGGTGTCAAGGGCAGGTGGGGACAGGCTGGGGGTAGATAGTCTGTGGAGTGATTGGAGTCAACGTGATGAGTCATAACTGCACATAAATGTTGAGGATCCAGTTCAAAGTCTTGATATTGGTGTTCTTTATACTTATTATACATATGTGTGTTCATAATATTATTATGAATGACATCTGAATTGTAAATAATGGAAACAATGTTTGTGTTTTTGTCTTTGGGTTATCTGAAACTAGTGTTAATCCGACAATTCATCATGAAAGTTGTTTTAGGCAACGCAGAAACCATTACTGCTCGGTGAGGCTGAACTTGGTTGTGATTAATGAGCAGTTTTAACTGTATGGACACCTCAGAAAATGAACTGCTAAGGTAGATCAGCATAATAGGTGAAGATACACTCTTACAGATGGTTTCAGATACTTGTCATTAGGTCCTGAGGCACAAGCCTAGGAAAAGGGTCAACTCGTAACCTGAAACCCTGCAACTTGAAGACTAATGAATACTTGATGACCTAATCATGATGATGGTATTAGCCTGTGATCCAATACAATATGTTCTTATTTTCTGTGTAAACAATGCTCCACACCAACTCCCTGACCAACATTGAGCTGCTATTTCATCTTCTGAAATCTGGGTCTTAAAGATGGGAAGGGGGTGGGGGTGTTAGAAAGGGGAACAACTCTAACTTGAAGATTTACTTTTGTGATTGTCTTTAATGAAATTTTACTCACATTAAATTATTAGCTTACAGGTAGTATCCCAATAGTGAACATTAATTATGAAATACCATAATCAGGTATGAGTTTGATAAATTTCCATGTTTCCATGGTGCATGACAGAATTCTGAATCAGGCACAAGAACGCCTACAAATGAAACAAGTTTAAACTTCAATATGGACTATGGAATAATTACTCTAGAGAGCCATCATGCAGGGTCGGGTGTGTGTGTCAGTTAAGTGATAGCTGGTCACATCGCATGAAGCATACAATGGTCATCAACTGTCCGACTGGTTGTGTACAGAGCTGGGGACTCACACATGACAAGTCCTGTGAGGCTGGACAAGTCCTGTGAGCCTGACCGGGTGCATGTGTCTCCATCTTCCTTCAGTGGAAGATGCAGACATAGGTGGTCAGGGGTGATTGTAATGTAACCTGAACTGCTGTGACCTGATAATCCTGTGGGCAAAGAGTCAGGGATAAGTGGGGAGATAAGGAGAGAGGGAGGATCCATGCTAATTACTGGCAACTAATTAGTACCAGCTGGGTTTGATTTGCAGGCATTGTACATGAACATTAGAAAGTATGTTTGGAAGTTGTGATAAGACAGGACTATCTGCTGGAATGTTAGGGTGATGAGACCTGCTAGTTCCTGCCTGTATCATGGTGACAAGGAGATTCTACTAAACACTCCCCCAGTATTACCTCCCAGTCAGTGAATGAAGTTTGCTGGAAGATCCTCATCAACAGGCTTCCTCAAGGAACTTCCTCCAATATATACAATGAAGATGACAGAACTCTCCAATAATTGATGTAGAAGAAACAGAATGAACTCCCAGAAGAACCACAACTGAATGTGAAGACATTAAACATGAAACGTTTCTGTTTTCATGTCCTCATCAGTAAAGTTATTACTATTGAAAGATGACACTTCAAGTAGGGAATACTCATTTGTTTTAGTTTAACATCTCATTCTTTCCTTGCAATGTTTAAGAAATGATTAATGACCTAGTCTAGCCAGCCAAGATGGTGACAGCAGGGTAGGAAGTGATCAGGGTAGTAATTACCTGCTGACTTAGTCTGCAGAAGCTGGTCCCTATGTAAAAGTGTACAATATGGTCACAGGGGCTGGGAGATGCTCACTTGGGTAGATTTTGGGAATGACTTCAGGAGTACAGATATTTCTTGCAAGGCCTGTTACTGAAACTGTTTGTGCTGTGTTCCATGTATAGTGCTGTTAGTGTAAGTACCATGGGTTTATGACATCTACTGCTGACAGCAACTATTGACTGTAGGGTATAATGCATCACACTTCTCACTGAATTTGATACATGTTTCTGTAGACTACACACTTGAAGCAAATACTTAGCCAATGGCAGGCCAGCAGAAACTGTGAACTTCAAAGGAGACTCTGTGACCTGTGGCTGATTCAGCAGTCATAATTCTTAGGTAATTATCAAATTATGTTATTATCAGATGACACTACACTGCAAGTTCATATTTATAGCAAAAGTTTGTGCCAGGATCATGGTGGAATCATAATAAATCATTAAATAAACCATTTTTATTGATCGGAACTGTGAGTGATGTAAACAAGACAGTTACTGGGGAAAACTTTGCTCTCTCAGTCGTATCTTATCTTGTGATGGCATAGCCAAGTCCAAATTGTTATGAAATTGGCATTTTGATCAATGGCTTTTATCCAGCTGACTCCTATCTGGGCGGCCTCTTGTGGCAATGATCCATCTATATACTGTCAGTGTAATACATCTAGCCTATTGCTGGATCCTGTTCAGGCAGCCTCTTGTGGCAATGATCCATCCATATACTGTCAGTGGAATACATCTAGCCGGTTATTGGTTCCTGTTCAGGCAGCCTCTTGTGGCAATGATCCATCTTTATACTGTCAGTGGAATACATCTAGCCGTTTATTGGTTCCTGTTCAGGCAGCCTCTTGTTGCAATGATCCATCTCTATACTGTCAGTGGAATACATCTAGCTGTTTATTGGTTCCTGTTCAGGCAGCCTCTTGTTGCAATGATCCATCTCTATACTGTCAGTGGAATACATCTAGCCGGTTATTGGTTCCTGTTCAGGCAGCCTCTTGTGGCAATGATCCATCTTTATACTGTCAGTGGAATACATCTAGCCATTTATTGGTTCCTGTTCAGGCAGCCTCTTGTGGCAATGATCCATCTTTATACTGTCAGTGGAATACATCTAGCCGGTTATTGGTTCCTGTTCAGGCAGCCTCTTGTGGCAATGATCCATCTATATACTGTCAGTGGAATACATCAAGCCTGTTGCTGGTTCCTGTTCAGGCAGCCTCTTGTGGCAATGATCCATCTATACTAGGTGTCATTAATACAGGGTCAAATGATCTATAGTGCATTTTTAATGTCTTGACAAATGTGACACATCGTGACATACAGACAAAAAGTTGAAACACTAGCAAACATCAGTTGTATAGACCACCCCCCAAAATGAAAATGACAAACATGAAGCGCTCGGTCATTCATTATCTTGTGTACCCTCCTCGGGTATCCAAGACACAGGTGCACCTTGTTCTCAAGCTCCTTATCAAGTTCATAAAGAAATCTTACAGAATCACATTCCATTCCTCTACTAGAGCTCTGCGGAGTCCTGGGAGATCCACTGGTGCTGGGTAGCGTGTGTACACACATGGACTAAGTTCATCCCAGGCTTGCTCAATTGGGTTGAGGTCTAGCAAGCATGCTGGCCACTCCATCCGCTCTGCACCCTGCTGCCTAAGGAATTCCGTGACAAACCTGGCCCTATGAGGCCTAGCGTTGTCATGTTGCAGTAAAGAAGGTCAACCATAAAAGCCATGCATAGCTTGCAGTAATGGTACTGCTATAGGAGCCACAATCTTGTCCATCGACCACGTGCAGTGGAGTACGTCCAGTAGGAGTTATCCCTGCCCAAACCATGACCGACACCCCGCCAAATCGGTTATGCGTGGCCAAAGATGTATCTGTGATTCGCTCTCCATTGGGACGATAAATCCTATGCCCACCATCATGGAAGGACAAATTGAATCTGCTTTCACCTGTGAAGAGCACACAAGACCATTGATGTTGATTCCAGTGGCCATGATGGCCATGATCTTAAACTCGCCTGCCTGTGACGTGGTGTTAGTGGTGGACGAACTGCAGGTCGCCTACAGCGGAGTTCGGCTGCCCTTAAATGTCGACGTTTTCGACGAATGGTGCTCCTGGATATCTTTACATTGTTAAAATTGAAGTGTTCTGTCTGAAGATCTACTGCGTTAAGGAATCTGTTACATAACGCAGTGTTAATCATGTGCCTATCATCTCGGACTGTT